ATTTTGAACAACATGAGCCTCATATTCAACATGAAATAATGGTTCTTTGGGTTTTTTAGGGGTCATGTGACAATGTAACACCTGAGAAAGGTAAACACAAAAACAAGTAACTATGTACAAAGAAAATAAATAAAATGGTACAACAACTAAACTAAACATCATCAATTGCCAATCCCCGGCAACGACACCAAAAACTTGTCCGCAAATTGTGAGTACTAAATATGGGTGCGGAAATATGTGCAAGTATACACAATCGAACAAGTAATACAGTGATGAGTAAGTATCGTATCCACAGAGATTGGAGAGATCTTGAGTAAAGTTTATGAACTATTCTAAAGTAACTAAGTATAGTTAATGATATTCAGAAATGAGAATGTTGTGGCAAAATGGATGGAGATGTCGTGACAAATAAAATTGTGTTTAGTGCAAACAAATGTAAATGCAAAGGCAATATAAAATGTAAATACTAGATTTGATTATCAGGACTTCAGACTTCCTCACACGACAAGCTACTATGGGAATGAGTGATAGGAGTTACTTAGGAAATTTAAGTCCACTTCTTAGAATGATCTTACTTCTATGCCTAATATGCCCGACAGAGTCTACTAGGGTGCCCTATGTTATCTCTAGTAAGGGACTCGACAGAGTGAAGATGTCTTGGCAAAACCAGTTGGCGTAAACCCCTGCAGTGATCCTATTGGTCTAGATAACAGGATATGTCTCGACAATACCTTTTTGCGGCAGCATTAATATCTAACCTATCGCTCATGCACAACTCCTTTTAGTCGAATGAAATCCTAACCTTATCTCTAAGGTGGATTAGTTCTAGTTACTATCTAGAACCGAACCCCTTGCTTATGTGGTTCCCTAGTTTCTCTCGAACACTAAGGATGTACTACCTAGGCATTCTCTCGAACACTAAGTAATCTCCTAAGGAACGACTACTCTCGTAGCTCCTACAACCTTAAGGCACTAAGCTTCATAAACAAAACAGAATATAACATAGAAAAATAATCATTCATTAAAAAAAAACTTAAATATCCAAAATAAACTCCCACCAAATAGGATTAATTCATGGTGGGGGTCGAAATAAGCAAGCACAAAGCAAGTTAATCCGTTCCTTACAACCCAAACGATAAAATATGAAAGCAAAGAGCAAAGTGAAGGATGAAAAGCCTTCGACGTGCACTGTTGGAGTTTCCCTCGGCCACCACGGATAGTCCCAGCGAACTAGCTCCTCTCGGACGCCTAGAACGCCACTCCCTCTAGCTTGTCAACGGAGGAATGCCATGACAAAAGTGATTGACGAAAAAAGGAGAGACTTTTTTCTCTAAATTTTTAGCTCTTGGCAGCTGGTCAAAAAGTTCAAAAGTCTCATAAAAAGTCATGCTTCATCTTTTATTTATAGGGGAGAATGAACCTAGGATTTTGTGTTAAAATTACACTAGTACCCTAAAGTTCATTCATTTTATGTGAGAGTTGTTGCAAAGATGGTAATTGGCCCCTCCTTTATGGCTGATTGCAGAAATCACGCATAGTCAATAACAGCTGGCTCTTACTAAAAATATCTTCTTTGACTTTTTCTGCCCAGAAATGTCGTCCGAGTTGTCGCGACAATCACATTTTGCTCAGTAGTCTCATCATGTCATGGCAATTCCCTTTTTCTTAACCTTGCTCCCAAATCCTGCACATCATCAAACAAAACACCTTCCCCGTAAAGCAGCACTGATTACAAAATAAAATGACGCAGCAAACAAAATCCCACCACATGCAACTATATGCTTCTAAATGCATCTATATGATTCTAAATGAGCTTTTAAACAGTCAATAACTTAAGTGAAAATGTCTCAAATATGACCTTTTTTACAGAGTTATCAACGCTATAATGATTTGCTTGGTGCTGGTTCAATGAAGAAGCTTTACAGGGGATTTGATCAGGAGGAAGGTATATAGGTGGCTTGGAATCAAGTGAAATTGGTTAACTTTAGTGAAGACCATGTTCTTATCAATAGGCTTCAATCCGAGGTACAGTTGCTGAGAATATTGAAAAACATGTATATCATTGTTTGCTACAGTGTTTGGAGGGATCGAGAGCATAACACGTTGAATTTTATCACTGAGGTCTGCACATCGGGAAACCTGAGAACTTACAGGAAGAAGCATCGCCATGTGTCCATTAAGGTCTTGAAGAAGTGGTCAAAACAGGTACTTGAGGGGTTGGAATATCTTCATACATCTGACCCTTGCATCATTCATAGAGATCTAAATTGCAGCAACATCTTCATCAACGGGAACATCTGCCAAGTAAGTGGGCTTATTCCCTATTACTATGCAGAACATGTTTCCAACTTTTACGAGACGTAACCTGTGCTCTAATGTAATAGACGCCTAGTTAGGCGGCTACGGTATTCTTCTTTTCCACGACTTAAATTGAATATACAAGACAGTAAATTATCTATATTCAAATATATTTAGTAGCTGATGACAACCTTTTGGCCATATAATCTAATGTTAGATAAATGTAGACTGTTCTTTGATGGACAAAGGAAGTGTTGCAAACAAGTGAAATGGCATGTAGTATGAAACGAGGAGAGGAAGATTGGTGTAGACCCTTTGTGTAGAATACAGTAGAAGGTGGTGATTAATGAGGTGGAGAATAGGTGAAATAGACTAAGGGTGGCTGAAAATTAAGGCTGGATAAGGAATAGACCGAGAGAACTGTAGAGAAGAGTTTGGTAATATGCAGCAGATTTCTGAGTCACCGAATGGTCAGTTCAATGTAGCTGAGCGTGCTTTTATGTTTTAGGCTCTTTGTGAAGGAATGAGAGATTAAATACAATTAGAGGTAATTTTTGAGCGAGTCGATTGTGAGTTGGAAAGTGTTCGACTCGTGCACATTAAAAAATTTTATTGTTTAATTCGACTCTTTGCTTGTTAAGTTCGTGAAAATTTTCTTCGACTCGTGCTTGTTAAAAAACTTGTTGCTCGGCTCGTTGCTCGTTAAGCTCGATAATTGTTGCTCATTAAGCTCACTGCAATTTTTAAAATCTAGTAATACTATATAGAGTTTAATATAAACATAAATTAAAAAAATTAACAAAAAATTATTAAAAGAGTGCATTAAACAATTTCAAAGTTTAAACTTCGAACTAACAATCCACAAATAACAATAATATATAGGTTTTGATTTTTTTTGTGTAATAAAATATTAATTAATAATTTAGTATTTTTATTGTTTATTAGAAAATTAATAGATTAGTAATTTATTATCTTTTTTATTATTTTTTAGTAAATTAATAATTTTTAATACAATATTTTTTAAGATAATTACTAACAGTTTTATATAAAAAAAATTAATGAGATGTTCACGAACTTATTGAGTCGACTTGGACTTTTCTCAACTCAACTCGTTAAGGTCTCAGTCAAGTTCGAGTTTGAGTACAATCAACTCAAGTCAAGTTTTTACCGAGCTTTGAACTAGTCGATTTCAAGCTACTCAACTCATTAAGCAAATCTACGGGCAATCTTTGATCGTAGCTTTAAGCAAAATATTTTTTGAAATATTATCTGCAGGTGAAAATCGGCGACCTGGGACTTGCTGCCATAGTTGGGAGAAACCATGCTGCACATTCCCTAATAGGGACACCGGAATATATGGCACCGGAGCTGTACGAGGAAGATTACACAGAGATGGTTGACATATACTCTTTCGGAATGTGCCTGCTGGAGATACCTTATAGTGAATGTGATATTGTTGTCAAAATATACAAGAAGGTCACCTCTGGCGTGAGATCCCAAGCCTTTGAACACGGTTTCGGATCCAGAAGTGAAGGCATTTATTGCGAAATGCATAGCACAGCCAAGGGCACGACCTTCGGCTTCTGAGCTTCTCAAGGACCCTTTCTTTTCTGACCTCAAAGACGACGAGAATGACTCCGTTTCCACTTGATGACCGAAACACAAGCGAGTAAAATTTTCTTTTCTGATTTGACAGAAAGAGCATTCTAGTTTCTCTTTTTTTTAACTACTTTCCCAACTGAGATTTATAAATGCTAATGTACATATTGGTAGGGTGAACAATGCTAACGGCGGATCCATAAATTTAAGAATGAGGTCCAAAATTTTAATTTTTTTTCTTAAAAGTAATGGGTATGTAAAAATTGTAATTTTTTTATTTTTTCCTTAACATATTAAGTTAAATTTAACCACATTTCCAAAATAATAGGATACAATTAGCCCCTATGGGGTTTAGTGCATCCTCCAAATAGTGCACTGCTTTCTTTAATGCCAGTTGATTTGTTGTTATGTCAAAAAAAATCCAACATTGACTACCTTTATAGCTGTAGTGATCTTCTCTATGAATTGTCTAATGTCGTTTGGGGTAAAAGGTTGCAATGATTTATATATATATAGGTTAATAACAAGGCTTTAAGCTGTAACTCTTTCAAACATCCAATTATTCCTTGGTTGAGGCAGCCTCTTGTCGCTGTGCCTGTCTGTACATATTTTTAAACTCTCGTCATGGCGATTTGAAATGTCATGGAATTCTCATACTTGATATAGTTAGTAATTTAGTCTCTGTAATGATGTTTGAATGCTTATTTATTCGGTTTAATTTAGACTATGTTTTGATTAGCTAATGTGATATCTTTAGTCAAATTTTCAACTAAGCCGGGTTGAGATGTTACATTTATGACCTCATCCCAGATATATTGTGCTTTGTCAACATGTCGTATTCTATGAAAGGCCAGGAGCTAGTAGTAATGGGCTACGTGTAACAACAGATCATTCTCTTTAATATATGCATATGCGATAAAAGAAATATTTCCATTACACATCAAACATCATCCTTGCCAAAGCTACGGAAGAAATAGAAGAATGCTCAGAGACAAAAATGAACACGATTCACATTAAGCCGCTTGAAAAAACGACATAATTTCCGAACAAAACATAATAACCTAGAAACCCATGTTATCTTAAAATGGAAAACAAATTGTTTCTCTATTAATCAGAGCTAATTCTACAAGCCACAGAATGTCATTAGAACAAACTAGGCACTTTGACCTATTGTGCTTTGAATAATAAATTTTGCCGTTTAAAGAAGGCCAGGGACCAGTTTGCTTTTGGCAGCCTGTCAAGAAAGGATTTGCATTAAAATAATAGCAGCCAGGAGTGCAACGCACATATCAAAACTTATTCATTTCTCTAAGAAAAACATATAGTCCATTGTCAGGGGATTACCTCCAGAAAATCACGACAATGCTTCGACTTTATTAAACAACACTGGTCTCACCCGGCTGCGGAAGATCCTCGGTGTTTTCATGGGGCAACTGCGGAACAGTCCCTGCTTCCGCTTTTACCGTTTGCTGATCACTATGAATGGAAACATAAAGTGGTTGCAACTCACCGATATTCTCAGTTGCATGATGAGTTTCCGATTCATTAACATCAGTAGCCACTTGAGTTTGGGGGTCATTGACGTCATCACTCGCATTACATAATTGTGTGTCATCAGGGATCTCGTTTGTGTTGTGAATTTCTGAACCATTGGTATCATTGGTCACATTAGGTAGATCAGACGACTGCGGAATAACATTTTCTGCTGTTTCGTTATTTTTCAAATCAATTTCACTAATAGCGTGAGGGATATTTGAGTTGTCAACGTCATTACTTTCGTCACAAAACTGTGAGGCATCAATCCCATCAGCTGCATCCCGAAGTTGCATGTCATCAACTTTATTATGTTCCTCCAATAGCAGTCCATTTTCAACCTCGACAACTGTAGTACAAAGTGGCAGAAGATGAACCTCATTATCTTCGTGCTGTAGATGAAAGTGACCTACCTCGACAACCATGCCACAATACTGAGACTCGTCCTCACTAACTCCATGACCTTCCATGGGATCATTACTACGCTTCCGTTTCCCAGTAGCCTTTCTTCTTACCCTCTCCTTCCCCCTACTCCTTTTCCCAAGTTCAGTTTCCCCAATAGGTGACACTACAATCTGGCCTCCAACTTGCTCTCGCAAGCATTCTTGTGCAATAGCTCTAATCCTGGAAATTGATTCAAATTGCTCAGGCTGCAGTCCTTTCAGAGGAAAAGTGTCGGCTAAGTAAGAAATTTCCCGCACACCACCAATCTGTTCAAGAAAATAGTGTTACATGAAACTAACAACGAATAGGACATAGACATTATTTAACTAGTTAAGTATAGGCTTACTGTTCTTTGAAACTCTGAAGAGAGAGAAATAGGTCTCCCTACAACTTTACGAGTAATTCTCATGTACCACACCATGTACTCGTTTTCATCTGCATCATCATCACCTTCCACAATATGGAGTGCACGATCTTCCCATTCACTAAGTTCTGATTCCATTTTCCCCGACAAGTCCACCCCGCCGTCAACTCCACGACTCTTTCTTACCCACTGTGCTACATCTTCAGGGATCGATTGAAGCATACCATATTGCCTTAGGACACGATTAGGGAGGTGCCTTTCTGCCTTGTCAAAGCAGATTAACATTGTTTTAGACCTCCCCAATGCCAAAGTACTTCTAATTTCCACTGGGATTACTGTACTATCCATGTATTTGTAAGGAAGCCACTCTACCTATTTTCCAACAAAATACAACTGTATCATTCTTTCTCATTCATTTCTTTTGGTCAGATGCTGGTTCTTTCACATATGGAAAGTGAAAAATTCTATTTTTTTTCTCAAAAATAAACATAAACAAAGAAAAAGAGAAAGAGAAAGGAAAACAAAGAACTTACATCACATGGTTCTAGGGAGTCTAGTGCCTTACGGTAGAAAACTACATCACGGTTAGTCGTTGGACCACTCTGTTTTCCCTTCCACCCAAGTACAAAAGGGAAATGGTCGTGGATAGGGTCCCTGTTGAGCTTTGGTCGACCGATATTTAGATGATAGTAACTCCAGCACTAAGAAAGAAGATTAATTATCAACAGCAGATTATTAACTAAAGGCTATTCAGCAACAGCATTAAAAAAAAAACTTCATTTATAAATACTCTGAAATCCTAACTGCTCTCTTTTGTCAAGAAAAACCGAACCACACCAGGTACCTCAAAAGACTTACGGAAGAAACAAAATGATGTTGGAAAAATGAACAAAAGAAAAGCTAATAACCTGAAGTAGTGTTAAACATCCACAAATGGTGCTTTGAGATTTAACTGAGGCATTCCCAAGTGCCCTATACAAGAATGCTAATGCTGCTGCACCCCATGCATACCTCCCAGCTTCTTCAAAATTCTCAAACAAAGGAAGGTACATGACAGGGACCTTATTCCCTGTAGTAGTTGAAAAAATAGTGCTTCCCACAAGATATAAAAGGTAAGCACGTGTGTGGTACTCGATCTCTTCAATCGATGCATCTTCAGGGCACTGAGAAAAGAACTCTTTCAACCAACTTAGCTTTACCATCCCACCACTCGCATAGGTAGAATCTGGCACTTTCCCTAGGTACTTTTCACACACCGTGCCACAAGTGGTATACGTTATTCCAATCACAGGCTTCCCATCGATTGCCAACCCCAGCAAGAAGGCAACATCTTGTAGAGTCACAGTCATTTCTCCAACAGTGAAATGAAATGTATTCGTCTCTCTCCTCCACCTCTCAACTAAAGCTGAAATAAGCGGATTATCTAAACTAATGGCAGGTATCTTCCTCAAGTACCCAAATCCTGCTTTCTCAACCAACTCGATCTGTTTTGGGGTGAGCCGCCACTCACCCAACTTCGATGTATGCTCATGACATCTAAGTGCACCACGCTCCTGTGACATGAATGTTTTAACAAAAACCCTCTACATTTATGATCACAAGTCACAACTATTCTTATAATCAGAGAGATGAATCTATTAACAACTAAACAACCACTAATTATGGAACCAGTGTCCAGCCAGAGAAAATACGACACAAGACGCATGTTTTTTTTTTTTAACTCTAGAAAGTATTTCATTAAGTATTTGCTTAACTAGAGATAAGAATCTCTAATCCTACAACTGCACATATGAATTCTACACATTTTGCTCATCCAAGAAATACAAATTTCTACCTATTTGCATATAAATAAAAAAGTACGGCAGAACACTGGTGTGATGAGAGATCAACCTGGCCATCCCAAACAGCTGAAGATACATGCTTTTCTTGATCATACAGTACTGAAGGATCCATGGGTCCAGGATTTGCAGCACATGGGTCTATCCCAATCTCATCCATTGATTTTATATTCTACAATTTAAACCCCAGATAAACAATTCTGAAATGAAGGCCAAAACTGGCAAGTTCAGTCCCATGAAGTAAACATTATAGCAATATCATCCATCGCCGTTAATATGAATGGATTTTACATTTTGGGGACTTGATTGCAATTAAAAGAAAATAATTCAAGCTTTCATGGGTTAGAAAAAAACATAAGTATAGTCCAAACAAGTAATTGGGTGCTGTAATTTCGAAACCCTAGTTCGCATTTGGAAAAAGAAAATAAGCTAACGAGAAAATCCATTTGAAGCTTTCGCTGTATTAAATAGGTTGGCTAAACAGTGGGAAAATGAAATAAGAACGGAATTAGAAATCAGAAACGAAACGACGACGGAGTAAAGAAGAAAATGAGAAAACACGCAGAGCGAACCTGGTTGTTGATTTTTAACCAAAACGACGCACCACCCTCAACGCAATTCTTTTTTTTTTTTTTTTTTTGAGTTGAAATGAAAATGGGAAACTAAAACCCTCAAAACGAGTCGTTGCGACTCTTCTCTCTAAAAATGTGATGGGTTCTCTCTGCTCTGCTCTTGGATTCAACTTTTTCTTGTCCTTTTACGAGCTGAGGATATTCCACGTGGCATGTCTCTGGATTATTTTCCCTTTCTATAATTAGCTTGTTCCCAGTGAATTGCCCCTTTTTTTGTATTAAAGGCACTTAATTTTTTTATATAATAGTAAGTATTAAAAAAAAGTAAATTGGATTAGAGATCCATCTAAAGGTGGGAAGGCCAAATCAAATGTGTTAATAAGAGAATTTGAAGGTCGTTCACGCGTCAAAGATAAAAGATGACAGTAGTACAGATGAATTGGTATCACTGAAATAAAGTATAAAATTGATGAATGCAATAAATGACAAATAATCTTTGATAATTAGAAAATCAACTGCACGGGTTGATATGATCCTTGTGTTGGATAACTATTATTTCTTAGCTCATTTGTTTTGGAGGAAATTTTTTTCAAAAGTTTTTATTAAGTGGTTCATAGATAATTTACGACAGTTATTTAATTGTTCAATCATAAAGTATATATTTTGTTACTACAAATGATTACTCATTAAAGATTCAGTTGGAAAAATTACGATGAATTAAAAAATTTTAGTCATATTTTCTATGGATAAAGATAGATATTCGAATAATGAATTTATTGATTCATATTATAAACAATAACATCTTTATAACAATATCTCATATATGCTCAAAACGATTAAATTATGAATAAAAAATTGATACCTAAAATAGGGTACTTGTGAATATTGTGATATAAGAAAACCAAAAAACTCATATATCATATTGATAAGATAAAAAGCGAGAGAATTATTATATAAATCAACCCACTTATTAATTATTAAATGATTTTCAAATTGTATCTTGTACGAAGGCTAAAGGGGTGCCAATTCAAGTTTGCTGAAATCATTAGGGTTAGGGTTGCACTTGTATGATGTGCGGGCAATGTTAGAATTAGCAAACAAGTGTCAAAGAATGACAACAAAAGCTTGTAAGTGGCATTCACAAAGCAATTGGAGAATTACGTGATTTGGCAACAAATGATGAAATGCTTACCTATTAAGAAATGAAGAATCGAGGTGCCAAAATTATGGAGCAAAGATGGTGCAAATTAATAAATATGTAGCAGAACTCCACAACAGCAAGTAATGGTTGGCGGCAAATTGAGACAGTTTATGTAACATCCCAATCATCGATTTATGGTGGAATTTCTGTGTAGGGCTAATAGCAAATTTGGATTATTGGAGAGGACAATATGATCTTTCTTGTTAAAAGATAATTATTTCCTTTACTTAAGGGATTAACACGTGGGAATTAGAGTTATCTAGAAACCCCTTTCCTGCTCTCTTCTTCTTCTACCGTGAGCTTCACTCCTAAAGGTAAGATTATGAAATTGGTGGTTTTCCTTTAATTTTTGATTTGGTAATGAAAGTTTGGGCGTTATATAACCTTAAGGAAACCTTATATAGGAAAGAAATTTGTAAAATGGGTTCTGAAATGAATTGTTGATATAATGTAGTTTTTGGAGTTTTATTTGGATATTTGACTTGTCAACGATCAATTTAAGAAGGTAGGAGTAATAGAAATGATTAAGAACATGTTTGGAATCTTGGTATGATTTTGAGATTTAAGTGTTTATACAAGATTTTGGATAATTAGGAGTAGTAAATAAGGACAAGTTGGTTTGGGAGTATAAGGGTGAGCTTAAAGGCTTAAAGTGTGTTGAATATAAGAGATTTAGGAAGATTTTTGGTTTATTTCAGAGTGAAAATAGCTATTCTGGACATCGAGTATCGGTACCATTAGAACAATACCAATACTTCAAGGGTTAAATATGTGGTTTTTTAAGGGCGGTATCGATACCGTTTGAAGAAGGTATCGATACTGAGTGGGTAGTATCGATACCATGGGTATGGTATCGATACCATTTTCAAGATACAATTCTAGAACCTCGGAATGGTATCGGTACTGTAAGGAGGTATTGATACCCTTGAAGGGAAGTATCTGTACTGTAGTGGTAGTATCGATACTTCTAGGCATGAACGAAAAGTTAGTGTTTCTTTCATCATAAGTTATTATGATTGGATATAAATGATTGGAAGTATGATTTTTGATTTTTTTGTGTAGTGGTTGAACGTAATCAACTTCCGGTAAACTCGACATTATAAGTATTGATTTAAAAGTGTTAAGGATTTTGCTTAGGACTTCAGTGAGGCAAAGGTGAGTGCAACTTCTCGTTTTTGTAACATAATTGAGGAAGGCTTGCGATAAGTCAACCTCAGTGTTTTCGATCGAAAACCTTATAATTTCTTTTATGTTATATTTCAATATTTTATTCAATTTATATTATATAAGTTATGTTTTATATATGAGAAAAGACTATGTGAAAGTAACTATGTGAATAAGAGACACTACGAATAATGATTGAAAATAACTATGTGATTAATAGCCCAAGGTATATGTATGAGGATTAGAGGTATAGTTGACATGCGAAGAGTCGAGGGTTTTATGTGGTCATTCGGGACAATTGTGAGGTCCTTCGGGACAAATATGTGGCACTTTGGTGCAAACCTATATGATCATTCGGGACAATTATGTGGCACTTCAGTGCAAATTACGAGCCATGGTGACAACATTAGTGCACAACCTCAATGTACTCAAATACCTAGAGTTCTCAGTAGTATACATTGGGCATTTGGAACAAAACTATACAAAGTGAATAAAATACATAAATATACCCTTTTTGATAGGGAAAATAAATAAGAATTCTTCTATAAAATGTTTTGATAAAAACCAATAAAGATTTTCGTTTATTAAGTTAGCACTATTAGTATTTGTCTCACTAAGTCATCGACTTAGCGTGTGATTTCCTCACACGTAGGTTTGAAGAAAGTTGAAGACTGATTGGTTGAGGATAGCATACCTCGGGAAGATCAGATCAGGACAAATTAAATGTAGGTTTTTGTTAATTTTGTAAACTGTTGGCATGTATTATACTTTTAATTTGAAATGCTCTGATCGATTTTGTAAACTCATAAATTGATATTTATGTAAATTATCAAAGCTTTGATTTAAATTTAAGAGTGAAATTATAATCTTATTTAAGTTAAGGTTTATACTTTTTTATCTTGATCAAAAATTTAAATTTGTTAATAACATTTGTTTTGAAAAGTCAATATGACACCTCAGATTCGTATCCGGGTCGGGTACATGTTAGGGATGTTACATTTAATGGTATCAGAGCTATGGTTTAATTGGTTTTAAGTTCGAAATAAAGTCGTTTTTGTTTTAAAAAGTGTGCATGCCAATTTTTAATTAAGTCTTTCTGATATGATAAGGTGATTAGTATGCTATCATTGCTAATACATTAGTAAATTGATCTTAATAGATGTCGGACTTTGAGGGCTCCCGAAGTGAAGCGGGAGATAGGATGGAAGATAGTAGTAACTCACCTGCCCTGAGCAGGCAGGGTGAGGAGCATGCACAACAAGGAGTGCCTGTGCAAGATCAGGACCTTCTTCCAAACGTTGGACGCGATTCTGACGCGTTTCCAACCGTCTGCTCCCTCAGCCCCTAAGATGAATATCCCTAAGGAGTTGAGAAGTTTAGGAGCGCCTGAATTTAGAGGAGAAGCTGAGGAAGGTCCAGTTGTTGTCGATATGTGGCTCAATGACCTGAAGATTATGTTAGAGAATCTCCATTGTTATGAAATGGAGAAATTGGATGGTGTAGTTTCTTTATTGCGGGGTCAAGCTAGAATTTGGTGGTCTAATGTGCCGATGAAAGCTTCAAGGGATCATGTGACTTGGCCATTCTTTCTGGAGGAGTTTAAGAATAAATATATAGAGGATCAGTTCATCAGGCAGATGAAGCAAGAATTTATGAGCTTAAAACAATGAAATTGCACGGTATATGAGTTCGAGTGTGAATTCAACAAGTTGAGTCGATTTGCTGCATAGTTAGTCCCTACAGAAAATAATTCATGTGATTGGTTTTTGGAGGGTTTAAGCCCCATATTAAAAGAGTTATTGTTGGTGCTTAATCTTTCTTCATTTTAAGAGGTCGTGAATAGAACTAAAGCCCTAGAGCAAGCTCAAAACGAGAGGTTTGTAGAGCAAATATCGTACTGGAATAAGAGAGCTAGTGCTTCGTTCGGTTCTTCCCAATAAAAGAAGAGTAGATGTTCGAGTTCTTGACCTCAGACTATAGTAGAATCCGCAGTATCCTCAGGTAGAGGATCAAATCTGGGAAGAGCAAGACAAACTTATTCGGTGGAATCCAGAGTGAAAAATCGAAACAATATCAGTACTATGGGAAAACCATAGTGGAGTTTACTGAAAGGTCTCTGGAGCTTGTTTTAAGTGTGGTGAGGCAGAACACTTTATTCGAGACTGCCCGTTGATGACGGGAGATCCTACCTAAACAGAAAGATCCACTGCAATACCTATGAGAGGAAGAGGTCGAGGTAGAGGAATGAATCAGTCTAAGTCGACCACTCAACCTGAAGTGTGTTCCACCACTCAGGTGTACAATTTGAAGACCAGTGATGATCCTGAAATCATTGCAAGTACATTTCAGATAACTGGTAAATATGTTTTAGTTCTGATTGATCCATGATCGAATTACTCCTATATTAGTAGTAAACTGGTTAAAGACTTGAGCATTCTGTTAAAACCTATTCGTAGTGAGGTGATTGTGACTAATCTATTAGGACATAGTGCTCAGGTGAGGCAAATCTGTAGAGGGTGTCCCATATGGATTCAGGGAATTGAATTCCTACTAATCTAATGGAATTACCCTTTGACGAGTTCGAAGTTATTCTAGGAATGTATTGGTTGTACCATTATCATGCCAACGTGGATTGTCGACTTAAGCGAGTTATGTTAACAAGTCTGGATGGATTAGAGGTTAGTGTGGTCAGCGAAAGAATAAATCTCTTAGCTAATGTGATATCATTGATGT